GTAAGTGGGGCTCACAGACTCCATAAGGGGAAGAACCTATACTCCCATGCTTCTAAAATTTAGTAGTCTTCTGAAGTTTTGAATGGTGTATAAGTAAAAAATACAAATTTAAATGGAGTTAAACTTCACCAGGTTCATGATATAAAAAAGTGTATCAGAATTGGTTTTAGTACAGCTTTTAGATTCTCTCCAATGTCCTGTAATGATTGTACTGGCAGTCCTCTACAAATTCTTAGTGCTACTAACATTCTCTTGGGTGTATAGAAGTGTCTAAGATAAGTCTTCATCTTATGGATCATTATCACAGTTTGGTTTGTATGGTGCAATAAGAATATTCATGATGGAATAAGTTGTCATAATTTTTACTACTATTACAGGTCTCTAAACCATTTATGAACTGTAGTCAAGATATTGCCCGTTTTTATAAACCGTAAAATGCAAAGTTTAACTGTTAGCCACAGTTTACATAGAAGCTAGTAAAGTGTAACTTTTTGCCTGTCTTATAAATCAGTGTAATTACATATTCAACTTTAATTACTGGTGCGTCTGTATTGGCAAGGTTTATATGTTATATTTTATGCAAGACTACGATTCCTATTAATATTTAGCAGCTAACTATATCATTAATTACTCTAAAATCTTTCCCCTACCATCTTTTTAATGGAGCTGAGAGAGTAGATGTATTAAAAATTGATGTATTGTGGATTTCAGAAATGTGTATGACACTTGAAAAAATGCCTGGCCTTATTCAATAAGCCGAGCATATCAGTTTCTTGTTTACTAAAAAGTATGGACCCTGTTAAAACTTAGAGTTCAGGAGGAAAAATTAGAATCTGAATCCTGAGCAATTCATTCAGTTAGGATGTATTGTAACTTAATGTCCATACTTCTGAGAGTTAAACATCATGTACTTCTATTTTCAAGTTATTGAGGTAAGAACAGTACTTTCTCTCATTCTTATATTCTCTTTCTGTATTTTTTTACTAAATATCTAGTCAGAGGCCTGAAAGAGAAATACGGTCTTTCTTGGGGCCTATTTCCATTTGACCTTTCACAAGATATTATTTTTGTTGACTTTTTAGACATCTCATTTTATTTGACATATTAATGTCTTTAAGATTGTATGCCTAATTGCTTTATAGCACTTTTACTCTATCACCTTTGTGAAAAACACACGGTGAACATTAATGTATTTTATCAGGTTCCAAACCATTACTTTTTCAAAATGGAAAAATTTGTCTTTTGGAAGTGTCTTTAGATGTATTAAATAATACAAAAGAAGTAATAAAACTCGAAGTAGAAAGAACATGAATATATGCTCTTGAGAGTAGCAGTACTCTTAACATGAGGAAAGTGTGCAATCTGACAAAAGTTTTTATATCCGTGCTTTATCCTCTCAGCCATGCAGTGGGTAGCTTGAGACCTTTTACTTTCAGCCATTCTCCTGAGTATGCTAATGCTCACTCCCTGTGTAAAATGCTAAAACAATAAAACTTTAAAGAGCAAACAAGAGTTAGATCATGTTTTCCCCTCTTTAAAAAATACCTATTTCAGACAAATGAAATATATTTGTAATGACAGTGTTTAAGCTATTGATGCAACTCCTTGAGCTCCTATGTGATCTGTAGGGTTTGTTGTGAATTATATGTAGAGAGTATGTAGGGGAGGTGGTTTTTAAAACTTGTGTCCGATGATAAGAATATTAAAATTTTAAAAATGACTGACTCAATAAAATAGTTTATTAAACACTGCATTTTAGAACCTAAAATAATAATTGGGCTAAATCACAGCATTGATAGATAAGTAGTAGTTTTTGTTTGTCAATTGCTGTTTTTTACTTTTTCATTTTATTAAGTTACACCTTAATTATAAAATATCTCAGAAAAAATAGTGTGTATAAAACAGTATATAAAAATTGAGTATTTAATGTCCGATGTACTGCCACATTTATTGTACATTTTATGCTTATATGAATTAATGCATGTGAGATATATTTGTGTGTCTTTCCCATACAGAATAAAAGGAAAGCTTCCCTTGGCTTACTGGAAATAGATTCAGAAAAGACAAAAATTGGAGGAAGACTAAATTTTGTCTTTTCCTAAATTGTATAAATTGTAATCATATGTTTAATTATCTTGCAGAATATTGGTCAACATTCTCTTTGAATCTGTTTCTGCTCTGCCATTAACATTTTGTATATTCGATGTCAAATATTATTGATGGAATGTCACTTCAGTATTCTATATCTTTATCTTTATAGAATTTTAAGATGTTTGGAAATAAAGAATGTTAAGGAATTTAATGTTTATCATAAGACAAAGAAAAAGTTTTATCTAATTCTCTCATCAAAATTTGGCTGCATATAATTGAATGCACTTCAAAGTTCTTTTAAAACTAGACAGAAGTGAAAGGTTTTTTGTCTGTTTGTTTGTTTGTTTACATTTCAATGACACAGTCATATGTCCTGAAATGAAATCATGGTATGGTCCTTGTTGTTATTGGTGAGGGGATGGCGAGGGAAATTACGCTGATGCAGTTTTTAGCAAGAGGCAGAGAGGCCTAGTATTTGAGCTCTGGTGGTAGATTGTGGGGGTTCCAATCCCAGAGTTAACACTTCATAGCTAAGATTTATTTCTTTCCTCAGCTTTCTCAGCTGAAAGTGAGGTAAGTCGTAATAAAATGAACCTCACTGGATTCTTGAAAATGAAATGAGTGCCTGGAACATAATAAATTGTTCCTTGTGTCCCTCATAGTGCTGTGTTCAGAGTTACTGATTTATATTATTTCCTGTAATACTTCATTATTGCTATAAAGAAGATCATAAACAATATAAAAATATTTTGCATTTTAATACATTTTTTATAGACACTCCATAACTGTGTGGTTACTTTCCTTGATAGTCCCTTTTCTTTTGCTTATACTTCCTCTTATAATTCATGAAGTAAGCAGATCCCGTAAAAGTGAAAGAATGTAAGACAGGAGTTTATGGTAGGGAGCACCTTCCTCAGAGTCGGTGAGATAAGAGATGTTTGAGATAAGATGTAAGTTAAGGTTGGAGGCAATGAACAATTCAAACAGAAAAATATCAACCCAGAGCAAGAGCACATGACATATGTCTGGAGAACAGTGAATACGAGGTCTGACAGGAATTTGGAATGTTAAAAGGGAAATAGAATTTAGAATATATGAAAGGAGACCAGATTGTTGAGTGCTTTAAAGATCAAGCTATGATGTTTGTTTTATCAGTATGGAGCCTGTTAATGTTATGGGCTTGAGTTTCACATAGTCAGAGATGTGCTTTAGAATGAGTAATCTGAAGGTGTACTGAGTGAACTATGCCTGAGTAAAACTAATGTGAGGTAGGACATTCTGGAGTTGGAGAGATTCAAAGCTGAAGATGAGTCCTTGCGGGATGCAGTATGTGACTTAAGTGCAAGACAGCCCATGAAGGGCAAGGAATCCATGACAAGACAACTGGTTGAATGCTGGGGACAAAAAAGGAAAATTAGGAAAACTCATAGCAACTTTAAGGGCTTCCCTGGTAGCTCAGCTGGTGAAGAATCCGCCTGCAATTCAGGGAACCCCAGTTCTATCTCCTCTGGAGAAGGGAACTCCTACCCACTACAATATTCTGGCTTGGAGAAATCCATGGTACAGTCCAAGGGGTCGCAAAGAGTCAGACACAACTTAGTGCCTTTCACTTTCACAGCAACTTTAGAAGCCCACCAAGAGAAGGCATGAGAGAACAGGCTCAAGGGGGAAAAGGTGATGAGCTCAGCTTAACCAAAATGAATAAAGGAGGGGAAAGGGCGTTAGAAAAATTTAAGGTAAAATTAAACAGATAGCTGCAGCGTGAGAGAACTGAAGAATTGGATAGAGACACTTTGGTTAATGTCAATCTAACAGCACCTGTAAGTTTGTTTGTTTGTTTTTTCCTGCTTCAACTCTAAAGATTTGTGTAGAAATGCTTGTTTAAAAACAAGACCGTTTATCACAAAATCATTTCTCACTTTCTAGAGGCAATGGTCAAACAGATAAAGACTGGTGTGTGTGTGTGTCATTTTAGGAATTTAGCCTCTGAATACTTTCTCCATTTGAAGAAAGAGTCATTCATTGAACCACTCATGACATATCTGAGAAGATCATGGACAATGTATAAAATAATGGTTTAATGTTTATGTAGATATCAGTTTATCATGCTTTAATTTTGCACATTCATATTACAGGGAGCCACTTGCTTCTCTTCATTAGTCTTGTGGGCTTTTTGTTTGGAAGGAGTCACAGCATCTGTTTACCTTTACCTTATCAAATCTAGGATGTGTATATTTGTAAATGTATATCTTCCTAGTTACTATTTGAGAATGTCTTTACATATTTCGATACAGAAATTATAACATTCAATAGTGTGCTGTCAAAGGATGCTTTAGCTCATCTGGATATACCTATAGTATTAAATAATACCTAAAATATTGATCATTGAAACATTTTTATTAAGAAAATAATCAATATCTTACTTGCTGAATCCAAGAATGTAAATGTCCTTAGTTTTAGGGAACAGTGAAATAAACTATTTCTTTACTTAGTCTCTATTCAACTCCAGAATAGTAAAATATAGAGGTATTCTCGAAGTTGATAGAAAAGATGTTTTGAAGCTGTACAAAAGAAGAGTAATTATGGTTTAGTGCTTCTCATAAATTACTTTTAGAGGAAAAGGGGCCAAATTATCATCCATGTTCTTCATTTTGATGCTTCATGTTTAACACGTCCTGGCACTGTGGCTTTTACCCTTAGACTGTCCTGAATGAAGGCTTTTGCCAAACTAATACATTTGTTTTGCCTTAACTCTTTGCCTTTCTTCTCTACTTTTTCTGCTTTTCATTCTCCTCTCTTTTCTAAATTCTACCTTTCCTTAAGGGTCTCATCCTAGTTTTCCAGGAGGCTTTCCCAAGTAATTTTGCAGCCAGGACCTACACTCATCTCCGTATTTCTGAAGAACTTGT